AATAACACTGTTAAATGTAATCTTTATGAAGTTTTAAAATGAATGTCTATTTTTCATACAGTACATTATACAGCTGTGATGCCTTAATTCACTTGTAGCATTTAATTTTAGTTCTTTTTTGCATATTTAGACAAATGCACACTACTGTTCGAACATTTAGGGTCTTTGGGTTTTAGGGTTTTTATAAGAAGTTGCTTATGCTCGCCAATGCTGCATTTATTTGATAAAACAATACAACAAAACAGTAATATTATGACATTATTTTAATATATTTTCAAATGCTGCTTTATATTTGAAATCATTCTTTGTTAAAACAGAAACTTCAAAAGAGCAGCATTTATTTAAAATATAAATCGTTTGTAACATTATAGATGTCTTTAATTATAACTTTTGAATGGTAGTGCATATACATTTAATATTGCACATTTATCTGTTATAGCCAGGCCAGAACTGTAATATCGGTCAATCCTTAACAAGCACCATTAATAATACCAAAAAAATGATGATTTGTCACTGTATAAATACTAAAAGTCGAACATACCTGGTGATGCTGTTGACTTAAATGGCATTTGCGTGGTTGTCATTCCCATCTCTGTTGTGCTTCTGTCCGTGTGATTCCGGGTGGTTTCCACCACAGTGGTCTTGGTTGGGGTGCTCTTGCTGTAAGGTGTTGTTGCACGTCGGCCATGTGCAGTAGTGTTCCCTGGTGTTGCCGTGCTGGTTTCTAAGTGCAAGGTGGTGACGTCAGCAGAATCAGATGTACTGGGTGCCTGTGGTCCACCAGTAGTGGAGGTAAGCGGACGTTGGGCTGTGGTGGGTGTCGTCCGCAGTACCTGAACAATATCTGTGGTAGCGATGGTAGTGTGTTCTGTTTGGGCTAGCGGTGTGGTGCTCGGTTGGACCTGACGGGTGGTGACGGGAGGAATCATTGTAGTGAAAGTGTTGGTAGAACTGTAAACAGTTGATGCCTCATCAGTGGCTTCCTCTGTAACCTGTGGCCTATGAGTTGCTGGCATGGCAGATGTTGGCACCACTTCTGTGTTGGTCTGATCATCAGTTTTTGGGACGAAGGGTGGTTTGCCAGCAAGGAACGTCGTAAATGAGTCATCAATTGTGGTGGCTACATCTTCGGGCACTGGGGGTGCAGTGGTCAGGCCCTGAATGGTTGTCTCCTCCACTGTATGGGTCGGAGACCCTTCGAGTTCCTCATGGCCAGTTGAGCTGACAGATCCAGTAGAAAACTCAGTGGAAGCATCAGTATCCAGAGAATAAGTCACTGTGGAATCACGGCTCTGCTGGGATATGCTAGTGGCACTGTGTCCACCGGAGGTAAAAGGTGGGATAGATGACACAGAGTCACCGGTTTCTGTATAAGACATCCCACCACTCACCGATGTGGCGTCCATTTCCCCTTCATCTCTGTTGATCATTGTAAGAGGGGGTGTTGAATTTGGATTGTCATTATCAGACACCTGTTGAACAGTCTGTCCTGTGACACTAGATTGTCCCGTCTGTGACTCAGTGCCATGGGAAAACGTTGACTGCTCGGTCTCCAAAGAGTGACCTTGAGTTGCATTGGTGGCATTATGATCTTCAAAAGTGGGTTCAGTCTGTACAGACAATGTAGATACTTCTACGGTTTCCTCCTTGCCCTGGGTGGCTCCTGATGTTCTCACTTCCCAGCTGGAGGTTTGAGAGACAGCATCCGAGGAGTTGGAGTCCTCAGTGTACACAGAGGTGCTGTTGGAGGTCACCGAGAGGAGTGTGTGTTCTCTGACTCGGTTGGTTGTGGAAATGTAGGTGCTATCAGTGTGAGAGACCGAGTCGGTGGTGTCAATGTCTCTCAGATCCGTTGTGGGAACCTCTCGCACTGTTCGAGCCTCTGTAACGGGATGGTGGCTGGTGATGCTGTGCGATGCTACTGATGGACCCTCCCATTGGGCTGTGGCATTATGGGTAAACTCTTTGTCAGTCTGCAGATGTTCAGTGGAATCATCCGAGGTCATCCTCCAGTCAGCTGTGTTTGTAGAGATGCGTAAAGGTTTTTCTGAATGTCATGGTTTGGGGAAATAAAGAACAATATATTGGAAACTATGTATTGTAAACTGAAAATAGTATTGAAATTCAGGAAAGGGGAAATTTGAGAAGCATGTCCACTAGGGTGCGCTTCATGTGGTGTGAGCCTTGGGAAACCTCATGAACTATGTGAGATGTTTTCAGAAGTGACTGCGGATGTAATGATTTTGGGTGGAGAACAATTGGCAGCCAAGCTCGTCTAACCTAACAAAAGCTTGGGCCCTAAAAATGGAGGGGATCTGACCCATTGGGACCTGCTGTTTCCTTCCTTCAGCTGACCTAGCAAAGTCCATATTACAGTGTTGTCACTGCCTGCATGGAGTTCATATACAGGCAAAACTATAATCAAGAGGACCTCTGATTATTCAAGCTATTTAAACAGGGTGGTTAAAACATATTGAGTAGCATTACTTTATTGTCAACAAATCATCCCAAGATACTCCAATATGATACAAATAAACAAAACATGCTTTTTACCCAGTTAATAAATTTAGCAGCTCTGATGCAGAATTTCCACTTCATTTTTTTTCTTTTATATGTTAATCTGTTAAATTAAGTACAGAAAGATATACTTGTTGCTTTATTTCTTAGTAAGAAACTGCAACATGGCTCTGCTGTACATGGCTATAAAATAAAATCATAAGATACAACAATCAAACGTCTGGTTTGTAGCAATTCATTCGAATCTGAAAGAGCTATTGTGAAATTAATGTTCCCAGCACAATATCTGTTGAAGTTGATTTTAGTGTGGAAAGCCATGATATGATTTTGGGTCACGTCACTATCCAAAAATTGACTCACTCACTGAAAATGTCTCTTTGGGCTTGCATTACAGGGATCTTTAACAGAAGATCTTTCAGCTTGCATTATGTTCAGGGATATTCAGTCAGCTCAAACTGATGGGGACGAAGAAAGGCCTAAAAACAAGCCGTTTCTAAAGATTAATATGATCTGGACAGTAACGTGTAAGATAAAATAGAAGTCAAATACAGTATTTTTTGTGCCTAACCCATTGCAGATTGATGCAAAATACAAAAAGATTGTGCTCAATCACAGCTGCAAAGACTGGAGATTTTTGGTTTGGAAAGCAAAATACATATTTCTCAACTCACAATTTATACTAACCTTTCTCATAGGTGTATCAAAATGTGTATCGTCACGTTTCTCAGATATACATGTGAAAGTAAAGCTAGAATAATGTGTCACATAATTGATATCCATCCCCAAATCCTCTGATGTCTTAAATGAGATACAAGGCTATAAATCCATATGGATTTTTTAAGACCAATTCTAAAATGCATACCTAGAAAGAGTGGCTAATGGCCAAAATAATGTTAATATATAATAATAGCAGAAAAGCTTATAAATACCCATTTTTTAATACATTTACTCAAAATTCACTACAAAATATAGTAGTACAAAAAAGTATATCAGAGCCAATTCACGGCATTTAATTCTATTTACTTAATTGCACACTTGATGCCAAAATGTCAACAGGACAAATGACATGGAGTGGAAGTTCTCCAAATTAAATCACATAAATAAAACAAAAACAATCACTAACAAACTGCAGATTGAAAAGAACTCATTGGCTCAAGAAAGTGGAACAGTTTATGAACCAGGATGGTCATGAGCCAAGGAGGTCATTCATTAAAAGAGATGCTCTTCCAAAAACTGAGGAAACTGAGTGTAAGTAATCTCATTAGTTCACAGACTTCATACTTGACACAGTACTTCAGCTGCATAATAAAAACATAGTTGTCTTTATTATTTTTACTACTACTACAATAATAATAATAATAATAATGCATGGAATTGAGACAAAATTTATAAATATAATATATATTTTATACACATTTATTTATTATTAGGCTTTCCTGATGAGTAACTTCTGAGTGGAGGTGGAAACCTTGCAATCTAACTGCAACAGTTTTGTTTCAAAACAATACTTCTGTACATCTCAAAATAAACTTCTCAGTTAGGTATAGTTTATCTGTAGATTAAGGCTCTAGCAGAACCAAGTGTGCTGCTTATCTAGTCAGCACTTCTGGGCATCACAGCGCATGGAAGTCTTACCCTCTCGGGCTCCAGTGATGGACATACTGGCGGGAATGTCCGTCATCTCCCCCAGTCCACTCGAAAGATCCACAGCTGTTGTAGTGGCCTTTCTCCCCGGCCCGGAGGAGGTTTGTTTTACACCAGTTGTTCGGGTAAAGAAAGTTTCGGTACTCAGTGGGTTATCGGTGTCCGCGTCTGGAGAGAAAGTCTCGGCAATCACAGTATTTAGGACAAGCAGAAAGACCGTGAAAACCACACGGCAAGCGCGTCTCTCGACACACGTTTCCATTATAAAGGCGACCGGGCGTACTTCCTAATAAATAAAACGCCAAAGTGGTCCGGGTCACCATCGGAAAGTGAGTCCCTTTAACAGTTTCCCATGAGTAAATTCCTTATGTTGGTTTTAAAGTTGGAGATGAAGACTTGGAAGGGTTATATTTCATGCAGCGAGAGGAGGTGACTCCTCCCCTCAGGCAGGCGATAGCGGTTTCCACCCTATTCCTCTGGATGAACGCACTTTCACAAATGTGTGCTCAATTCGGTTTATGACCGTCAAATGACGCCACAACAGGTGGAATTTTCTTATTTTTCCCTCTCAAGTCTAAATCAAACACCAGTGCATTAACACTACACGAAATCATTTGCTCCCCACTTTTAGACATTTCTAATGCATTAAGACATGGGAGAAACACTCATAAGATATAACACGTTAAATGACATTCACAACTGACACCAGTGATAATGCAACTTGACAATTATTTTTAAAAAGATCTGGCATTTCCTGACAACATGAATGAGCATAAAACAGAGCTAAACTTCATGTACCTGAACTAGAAATGAAATCACAGCAGTTTATTCATTATTAATGTAAATTGCACTTTACTGTCATGGTAGACTTCTTTTAGAAAGCAAGGGGACCTGGGCTCAAATCCCAACCTTGCATACAATCATTAGAGTTCGGTATTGACAGATTACCATGTAGTTTCACAGTATGGAAATAACAGATTTTGATTCTCATGCTAAATCACTTTTGTTCCACCGAGAAAAAAAAAAAAGTCTAGTGAGTTCGGTGCATGAACATGAAGGTGAGCAGAAGAGACAGATCTTCTGTTTAGTGCAACTGATCTGCAGAAGCTGCAACTTGACTGCCATGTAAACAGACATGCAGCATGCAAATAGGTTTGCATATTAAACCTAGGCTATATTAATTTTGCATTTCAATAATCAAAAATAAATTATTTGGTAGTTAAAAGTTATTTTTGAAGAATTAACTAGGCCAGGAAGTTGAAAGGGGGCACGTTCTAGTTTGAATGGTCATGACACTTCTGAGTATTGTGACCTCAGTGAGGTCAATAAAAAATAAAAGACCAAATTTACTTATAATCTGAAAATTAAATGCCCACGGTGCATATTAAACCTTATACAAGCATTTCAGCAGAGAAGATCTTCACGGCAAATTAATTCACAATGCATGACTCTGATTGCACATTCCCGATTTTTCAGATAAACATTATTAGTTTCCTTCAGATTTTCCAGAAAATAAAGCTCCGTCCTCCGAGTACTACCTGACAAATGCAGTAAATAAAATAGCCTATATATTTCAAGTGAGTGATGATTTAGTCCCATGTGTCCACTTTTTGCAGTCCAGCTGGTTAGCAGGGCACAGTTGTTACATGCTCAGTTGGACTGAGGATGGACAATCTTGTCTGTGGTGGTGATAAAGGAGGAGTGATGGTAACGATCACGGAAGGCAAAGTCTGCATTTTCCTCTGTTAGCTGCCTGGTTTCCATGCCAACAGCTGACAAAGAGGGTGTCACCACAATCTGGTCCTGAAGGGCCCCATCTCGCCTAATAAGAGAGGCAAATGATTGGTAATGTGAGGTTCGGTTTTGCGTACATAGTTCTAATCACATCATCCACAATGGACTCTGCCACAAACCCACATAACAGTAATATGTTTGTAAGTGCTTTATTCAGTTTTAATTGAAGAACTCTCATAATACGCCAAGCTAAAGAACAGCATCGTTAATCAGAAGACATTTTAAAATTTTCCATAGAGCATGGAGACAATAGCTTTGAATTTATCTTCATGTAACACCTACTCTCAGTCTCAGCTCATTTGGAATAGTAACATATTCTAAATATATTCTGTTAACTCAAATTGGTGTTCTGCAGAATGTCTGTAAAATAATCAGTACTTTTCTTTTGGATGGACAGATGGACAGAATAGATCTGATCTATTTTTGTGTTTTCTATACAAGAATTGGTGGAAATGGCAATGCCATTATTGTGGTATTTTATGTATCTGGTAAACCTGCCCTTAAACATCATAAATTGTAGATCAGACGTCTTTTCCTGTCTAAGTAAGTGGTTCTTGGCCACACAAAGCTGCAATAAGGATCAGACTTTATGCTGAAAAAGTCAAGTCTGCCTACAGAAGACTATGTAACTTACCTCCCCAAATTCTGCAGTGAGGTCTTGAGCCACCTGAAGAAACTGAAGCGAGCTGCTGCACCTGTGGGCAGAGAATGTAATTTTTTATTTCCTGACAAGAAAAGTCATCATAAATAATGATGGATATGTGCATAATACACCTCTATTTTTATTTGACTTTAATTTAAATGGTTAAAATAATCATCCTGATATCAAAATTGTGACAAACCGATAGAAAGTGTCTTTTAAGCTCTTAGTCTTATTAGGCTTATTTTGCTGAAATAAGCAGTGTGTGGCATCCGAAGTGTTTATCAGACAATTTTCAGTGATGAGCAACTGAGGTTATTTCTCGAACTTTCTCAAAGATTATTCAAATCAATTAAAAAAGTTTGGAACAATTACAATTACCTGTTGGCAAACCTGGGCTTGTTGTTCCAATGTAAAGAAAGAGGATAAGGGCGACTGTAATGTTAATCAAGGCGTACATCCACTGGATAACGAACATTATCATAAAGGAGCACAATGCCTAAAGAAATAAAAACAGCATTAAAAATGTGAACTTACAAGCTTATTGCTTACAGGCTGGATAATTTTGCCAAACTTACACCAACTAACGAAACCCAGTGGTTGCAAAATCTGCCATAGACCGAACCCTGGATTGATCTTATTTCTGATTCTTCAAGATTTGTTTCTGAACCTGTGAACGAAAGGTATATAAGGTGAAATACAGATTTTGATCACTATATTGAGGAGTTATGTAACATTTTGTAGAGAGTTACGTACCATTTCTGTCTATCTGTTCTCTTGGGAGCTGTTCAACTGGGCCAGAATTAGGCAAAGACTGTTTCCTCTTGGCTTCTGTTGTAAGGTCAAACTCCATCAGTCCTATCTGGCTGCTGGTATCATCATCTAATCCAATAGTTTGTTCCGGCTCCCTCTCATCTTTTCCTTTATCTAATTCTCCATTGCTGTTCAAGTCCAACCCAAAACTGTTCATCAGCGTTTCTTTAGCTGGAATCTTTGACTTCCTGCCCCGGGTCTTGGAGGCAGGAAGAGAAACTCTCTGTTGATCAGCGGTGTCCGTGCTGGGCGATGGAAATATTTGGTCCATGTCTTTGGTGAACTCCAGCAGTGTGCCGTTCACAGGTTCACTGATGGCTCCACTGCTGCCGTAATGGGGGTGAGTGCTGGACACCAGTGATCTTCTGGAGCTTGACCTCCTGATCAGCGTCGTCCTTTGCTGGACCTGCAGCTCATGGGTTTTCACCACACAGAAATAGCAATAATCAATTATGCTGTAGGTTAGCATGAAGTTGATGGTGACGATGGGAGCCAGTACATTGACCTGGCCGACAAAGATGAATGCCATGGAGATCAAGCTGGTCAGACAGATGGCAGCCTCAGGTGTCTTATTGGGCCCTCGCTGTAATACATATAAAGATAAGAGAAAGGTAAATCTATGGCTGTTACAAAACCTAGTGAGCTGTCTTATTGTCTACTCACTACATAGACACATTCTAAGGAAGCATCCCAACTGAAATGAAACCTTAAGTGACTGACTTGTACATGGGTAGCATCTCTGTGTGTTACTTTAATGAATTTAGATATTATATTTATAGTAAACATTTGTCTGTTTTTTTCCTGAGCTCCTCACAATGCATTATGGGATCAGACAGGAGTGTCTAGTCATGTCTACTTCATCTACTCCACAAGATTTTATTAATCATTTACAAGTTCACATTATGGATTTGGCTCCTGTACCCTCATTTGTTTCATGCTCTTCAGGTTATGTAATGAGCGAGTAGAAGTATCCAGTTAAAACATCCCAAAAAAGACATCTTTCACGTCACCTCAGACCCAGATCCCATAAATCTCTGGGATGGAGGTGCTACTGCTACTGGCTGGCACAGCTCCAGATCCACCAGGGTTGGTCTTTTCTGTGCTTCCTGCGTTTGTTCTGGGACTTTGATTCAGGGCGAGATGTCTCGGGCGAACTTGTAGCCCATAGAGAGGGGTCAGACAGAGCTCAGGCGAGGGAAAGGGTGTGCCGTGCTTTTTGAAAGCCACAATTGTTACAATTCATTCCTTCGCGTTTTTTGGAGTGAACTCTGGCACACTATAATTAGGAACCCATCCTGTCATCTATGGAGCTACTCATTGAGCGAGAAAAGGTAAACAATTCATTAAAGTGGCACAAAGTGCATGAAAAACAAATGTTTAATTTCACTCGTTATACTAAGCGAATTGTTAAAGTTTGATAATTTATTAACCTCTGAGAGAACTCATTATAAGTACATCCCTGATTTTCCAAATGGTTTATAATCACAGAATAGATTTAGCATTGATTTATCAACATCTAAATAAAACAAATCTACAAAATTAACCATTTTATTTTGTTAAGCAAAAAACCACAGTCTTGCATTCCCTGTTTTGAAAATAGCCACATTAATATCTCCCTATAAGCACCCACCCCTTTCCCAAGAAATCCGAGAGCTGGGATGACTCTCTCCTGGGCGATACACTGGAGGATCCTGGGTGCACCGTACAGGCCGCCCATGCAGGAGGCCAGGGAGGAGATGTAGAGGCCCAGCAAAAACAGGAAACCAACCAAGGAGACCTGGGAAAAAAACAAACACAGAGGGGAAGAGAATGTAGAGGGCTCCACCCAGCTCTGTTCCGCTTGGCCAGACTGAAAAAAGCTTATAATGTGTTGAAAGTAAATCAAAGAAACAATGTGTAATCTGACAGAACCCATAATGAGAGAACGGGCAATTACAAATGATACAGTAAGGTTGATTATGTGTATGAAACCCCAACTTCTGTAACACCGTAATGTACAAAATGCACCTTTTTGTAGATTCAATATAATATTTAATATGCATTGTTTTGTATGTAGAGTGTTAACCCCAAAACACCACAGCCCACATTAAGGAACAGCTGGGTCAGCCACAACCAGGCTACAGCCTTACACATTCATAAACTATGTAGCTTAGTTCAGCAGCCTACTGTAATCTATGCTGACTGGCAGCTGTACGGCTATCAAACGTCAGGGTATGTGCAAGGTCAGTGCGCAACTGGGCTCCATTCTCATTCAAACACTTACACCAGCTGTAGCGTTTAGAATGACCTCAAATGCCTCTGTTATGAGGGCCTGCAGACGAGTGGAATGACATTAGCATGACAATAAACGCAACTGTAAGGATTTATCTGTGGTTAATGTGCTATTCTCAAGTCTCACTTTCAGTTGAGACAATGAGTCTTAACAGTGGAAAAACCCATGGAAGATGGCCATCCTCTGAAGCCTGTAATAACATCAGATTACCTTTTCTGCTATTAAGAAATCATAGCGCAGCGCATCTCTGGTGCAAATGGCTCCCAGTAAGAACACAAAGACGAGATACAGGAACCACCTGCAGATTTCCACAATACACACGAGTCATTCATTCTATTTACAGAGAAATTATCTAACTATGTATATTTATATATGTATTATATATAACAATTTTATCTTAAATAAATGTTTTTCACTTTCTATTCATCAAAGGATACTGAAAAAAAAAATGTTTTACAAAATATTAGGCAGCACAACTGTTTTCAACATTGATAAAAATGTTTTGAGCACCAAATCAGCATACAAGAATAATTTTGAGTGTATTAAAATAGAAGTTATTTTAAATTGTAATAATATTTCACAATATTACTGTTTTTACTGTATTTCTATGATCAATTAAATGCAGCCCTGATGAGCATAAGAGATTTCTTTCAAAAACATAAAAACATCTTATCAACCATTACCAGACATACAGTACATCTCACACTGATTTTTATGTCATACACTTTTTTTTTTCAGGGCATGAAGGCTTATCCTAATTCTGTTTCTCATATTTTCCTTTTGGCGCCTGCTCTAAAGTATGTGTACACTCAACACAAATAGAAGCTAAAGATGAACAAAGGAAGAATGAAAGATTATTTCTGTGGCAGATAGAAACATACGAGATGCAGACTGCGGCGAGAGTTCCCACGGGGATGTTGTGCTCGGGCCTCTGGAGATCAGAGCTCATGTTGAATCCCGCCATCACACCTACACACACACACACACACACACACACACACACACACACACACACACAGAGTTACTGTGAAAACAAGACTGGAGACAAGGGGCCATTCAAAACCTGAAGAACAGAAAGACGTACATATCAGAGCTCACTTGAAACAAGGAAACAAGACAATGATGAAGTGGGTTTTCTTACATTTATGGGTTTCTCACATTTTGTAGATAATTATTTATCTAATTTTTATATTTATATTGTCTGTTTTTATTTATAGGATTTTTGAAAATAGTTTAGTCGAAAGCATTATGAAAGGTGGGTTGCACTTAACAGATTAACAAAATATGTGAATGTTAAATAATTATGATCCTAAACATTCAAAACATTTTATAATATTTCTATATTATTATGCAGGCTGGTCAGAAAACATAAGATTAATTGGGATTATTTCATAATATTTACAGCATAAATATTATCTAGATTTTAACAGTAAGAAAAAAAAAACATCTGCATATGATTTCATGAAAAACATGTTAATCGCTGTCATTTATTCTAGAATTATTTTAGCAATTTCTTTTAGGACAAAATCAATACAAAAGACAATTATTTAATTTTGAAAATAATTGTTTCATTTTGCTTTCTGTAATATTTTTCACACAATATAAATGGGTTTTTATTCATTAAAAAATATAGCTGCCTTTATATTTTATAAAGGAGATGCCCCACAAAAGGATCATCATATTTGGGTGCAGACTCCATGCAGGCTCAGACTGAAACCTTATTATACCACAAAAATGTGTTAACTATGAGATGAAATTCTGCAGAAAAGAGAGATTTCTGGAATGTCTGCAACCTAAATCCAACCACAGCTACTAACATACAGTACGGCAGCAAGATTTTCAGGCTACTGAAGTTATACAGGCTTATACTTCAATAATAGCAAAAATAAATCCTCATATCAGCATAGTGTCATTAAATCAGTGCTATTATATCATAGTTTAGCCTTTTTTGTTTATGTGTGTAAGGTAACCTGTCGCCGCAGGAAAGAAAACCCCAAACACGGTGAAGAAAGTCTCGGCAGCTGTGTAGTCTGGCAGGGTGTTCTTACGCAGCAGATCCTCTGAATAGCCAACAAATCCATGCTCTGTAATAAACATATTCAGCACAAAACAATGTTAGGAAAGACTGTTTATTACAACATTCAGTTGGACTAAAGCATTACTGAGTGCTTTATGGAAAAAGTCTGCACTGACACGATGATAAGAATCAGATTCATCTCTGAAATCCCAGAGTCTCCACTGAGTATATATGACACAAACATTACATACACAAAGCTTTCCTGTAAATTAGAATCTTTGTTGTGAAAAGCAAAAGGAAATATGCTGGCCTTTTTGAAAAATCTGATATTTAGATAGATCAGTCTAAATATTTCATAACATTAAAACAAATATCAGAAAACCATCTTGAAGCAGAATTTAAGTTTCCACCTCTCTGCTTAAAACACAGGCTGGTGACAACATTTACAAGAAAATATCCTCCAGTACAAGACCACAAACCAGCATCCATGACACAATATTGATCGATCGCACACTGACACAATAACCCCTTTCACCCTGAAATCAAAGGGAGGGGTTCCCTGGGGTACTGTGGAACAGACGTCTGGTTTGAAATATGACAGGTTTGGACTGCATAGCCATGCACAGGCAAAGCCCTGCGTGTCTGTGGCTGACCGTCACCGCCCTTTATGTAACAACCCGGGGAGACAGACGCCCCGCCAAGATGCGTGCAAACCGAGGGCCGGCCTGTTTCTTGGGAATACATGCCAAGTTCAATAGTTCTGCGCCTTGGACATGATGGAGGGAATGCTGGACTAAGCTCTGGGTGTGTTCACAGGCAAACAAAACAATCCAAGAACAGGCACCGCAGAACATTTACGTAAACAGTACTGAGAGATATCACCATTGTGCTGAACCATCACACGAGTGGGATTTTTATTCAGGGAGGCAGATATTAAAGTCTAGATAGCACTGACACTGTATGTTTCTGGTGGTTTGTGTACTTGTGTACAAACAACAGTATATAACGTATAGTAAATGCCAAAGGTAGGTGCTTTTAATCAGCTAGTTCACCCAAAAGTGCATTTACTCACCCTCACGTCATTCCAAACCAGTTTGACTTTCTTTTTTAAACAGATCTCAAAAGTAAATGTTTGGAAGAATGTTCAAGTCACTGTTTTCCACATAAAAGCAGATTTTTACTGCCAAGCTCCAAAAAGGACAAAAACAGCAACATTAAAGGGATAGTTGACCCAAAAATATGCCATTAATTACTCACCCTCATGTCGTTCCAAACCTGTAAGACCTTTGTTCATCTTCAGAACACTGAATCCGAGAGCTTTCTGACCCTGCATAGACAGCAACGCAACGGACACGTTCAAGGCCCAGAACGGTAGTAAGGACTGTTAAAAACAGTCCATGTGACGTCAGAGGTTCAACCTAATTTTATCAAGCTATGAAAATACTTCTTGTGCGCAAAGAATACAAAGGGTCAGAAAGCTCTTGGATTTCATCAAAAAATCTTAATTTGTGTTCTAAAGATGAACGAAGGTCTTACGGGTTTGGAACGACATGAGGGTGAGTAATTAATGACAGAATTTTCATTTTTGGGTGAACTAGTCCATACAATTCACTGGCTATTTTCCATGACTTCCACACATAATTTGTGTGAGGAACAGGCTAAAAAACACTTAATTCACTTCAAGATCGCCATTTTTCTCTTATAATCTTTCCTTTGCTCCAGCTCTCATATCTCATTTATACATATTTAATATGAAGATACAACAGAGGGAAGATTTTTAGTAAATAATGCAAAGAATTAAGCTAACATAAAACATATTTTACAATAGTGGTTCTCAACTCCAAGGCCCCCTTATTGTCCACAATATTCAAAGGCCCAACGACTTTTTCAGCTGTTCATGATTTACTAGACAAGGATCAAGGATAAGGATTTAATAATAATAATAATAATAATTTAACTGATAAAATGTTTTTATTATTTACATGACTTTTCCATGTCTAGAAACAACACTCAAAACTTTTTAAGACCATGAGAACCCTGTTTTTTTAAAGATAAAAATGTTGCTGAACAGGTAAATTAAAATAAGAAATATTTATATTTTTAGTCATTCTGTCTTTTTAAATGCTTGCTTTGTCTTATTTAAGTCATTTAAGTCATCTTGAGGCTCCCTGGGAAATTTGCTGAGGCCTCCTATTAGGCCTCGGACCCCTGGTGGAGAACAATTACGATTGAAGATTTGGAGTATAGCAAATGTGTCAAATAGACTATTTTTAGGATAATTTTATGGTGCTTTTTCCTTTTTAGGACTTGACAGTGAACACACACACACACACACACACACACACACACACACACAATGAAAGAAAAACAGCAGCTTGGTCATTCTTCAAAATATGTGACCCTGGACCACAAAACCAGTCTTAAGTGTCAATTTTTCGAAATAGAGATTTATACATCACCTGATAATGATTTTTGGCATAAAAGAAAAATCGATAATTTTGATCCATTCAATGTATATTTGGCTATTGCTACAAATATACCCCAGCGATTTAAGACTGGTTTTGTGGTCCAGGGTCACATATTTACTTTTGTATTCATTCAATGAAAGAAAGTCATACTGATTTGAAATGTTTAGTTTGAAAAAGTTTTAATTTAACAATTTAATAATAAAGTCTCAATTAGAGTCAAAAGCTTACATTAGATGTAGTGAAAGAGAAAGAAAGATGGTGGTTGCCACCCCTGCGGAGACAAGGCACTCATGCAGAGAGCCTGACTATGCAAGATCATGATCCATTTCCCTCTTGGTTATCTTGTGATGGGAAAGAATGTGTTCTCTTGGATTAATGACATGTTTATCCAAAAGGAAGTCACCACCCTTTCAGAAGCCGTGCCTGTTCCTACCCTTCCAAGTCACAGTTTCTTGGCTACAAAGAGAGAGAGAGCTAGAAAGAGAGTAAGATACAATAGAGAGGATCAGGAGAAGGAAGTAGAGAGGAAGTGCATAAAGAAAGTTTAGGTGGACACAGCCTTAGAAATAACAGATATCAAGTACTCCAATAATACCATGCAAGCAGGAAAAAACTTATCCTACTTGACCACATCATAAATTACCTTGACATAATTACCTTCTTTTATGAACTTTGCTAAATATATGGTAAGCTGTTTTTGGAATAACAAGTGCAAGAATAAAACAATTAGCCATAGTTTAGTTTGTGACTCTTGAACTAAACAACCTTCAAATACACCACCATTCAAAAGATTCAGTAAGATTTTTATTGAAAGGATTTTTAGAATGAATACTGTTAGTCAACAAGGATGCATTAAATTGCAGTAACAGTAAAGACTTTCTTGCAAAAAAACTATATAAAATAAATGTTGTTCTTTTGACATTTTTATACATCAAAGAATCCTCAAATAAGAACATATCCACAGGAATAGTAAGCTGCACAACTGTTTTAAACTTTGATAATAATATAAAATGCTTCTTGAGCCCTGAGATAAATGCCACGCCCTGCGATAAAAACATACACATATTCACAATACACAAGCATAAAAAAACGGCCCATACTGACACAGCGCATAAGAGCAGGGCTGTTACTGTTGCCCTCCTTGCCACCTTTCTAACCATTATGATTGCAGTTTGGATATTTGTAGTAAGAGTCCTGATCTGAAGATTTGGAAGAGGAAGTGATGATGTGGACTCTGCTAGTGAAGGACTCGGATCTGCTTCCTGCCTGCTCTTTTGTCTCAAGCCAAAAATGTGGGTGAGCCCGGTCAACACCCTTAACCCAAAACTATGAGCGCATGTCAGTTTCCGGTCCAACTTGGGGCGCTTAAGTAGAGTGTCTTTGAGGTTAGAGCTGAGATCCTACTTAACATGAACATCACACCATCATAAAACTAATTATGTGAGTGAAAAACAAGCCAATGACCTGATCAAAGACCATGAGCAGACAAGTCAAGCAATTCAGTTCTTTTCATAAAAATCTAATTGTTTTATTCCAGCAATTTCTTCCCACCACTAGAGAAGAACAGAATTTACACCAATAATAACACAGTCTAAAAGCCTACAGTAGCGGGAAAGCTCTTCTCACAGTTTCTCTTGCGTGGTAATAGGCAGGAGGGAAGGGACAGAACTAGGAGTTGCTCTCATTTTTTTTAAATCTAGCACAAATGTGTTCACCGCAATGGTATGAACACTCGAGAGGATCGTGCTCACATTTTCTTCATCTTTTCCAGCAATAACATTTTCAAATGATTTAACAAAACATTGAAGTAGGTAGCAATATTAAAAGATCATCATCACCATTTTGGCTACATGAACCTGGGCACACTGGTGCCTAATGGTAGATTGAGTGTATAACTCAAACATATCCTTTACCAAGAATTATTTCACAACCAAGATATGTGCTCAGCCCTTCAGTTTTCTTTAGCCTTTTAGTTCTTAAAGGAATAGTTCACTCTGTAAAAAACTGTGGGACCTTCTTCTTTATCCTTCAAACATTTTTTCAAAGCAAATAAGGACTGCAATTGTCAAGCTCCAAACATTATAATGTATCATTAGTGATGTCCATTTGACTCATTATGCCCTATTTTTAATTATTTATTGCTAAAAAGAACATTATTTTGTGTATTTGGTGTAATGAAATGTGTTTATGCGGTTTAAGGTTAAAAAAACATTACTTTCCACATACTGTACATCATTGTTTCTTCTCTATGCCCCGCCTTTCTGAAACGCGTCGACTATATATATATATATATATATATATATATATATAAAAAGTTTTTGAGACTGCAGTAAATAAATGCAATAAAACAGTAACATTGCGATCAATTTTTATTTATTTTAAAATGTAATTTATTCCTGTGATGGCAAAGCTATTTACCAACCATTACATCTACAACCACTCTATTTGTACATTTGTGGATTATGTGCATTATGTTTGTATATTTTGTATTGTTTTATATAGTGTATATATACTGTACATAAAAGTATACTGTTATTTGTAAAAGTGTCTAAACGTGTCTGGAGCACGCTCCCAAGCTTTTCACTCACCACGGCACACATGCTGTTGGTGATGTGACAATAAAAGTGATTTGATTCGAAGCGTCAGGGTCATGATCCTTCAGAAATTATTCTAATATGCTAATTTGGAGCGCAAGAAACATTTCTTGTTAATACCACTGTTCATAACAGTCGAGTTGCTTAATATTGTTATGAAAACCTTCAAAATCATTCCAGGATTCTTTCATAAATATAAAGTTCAAAAGAACAGCATTTATTTGAAATAGAAATATTTTAACTTTTATAAAGAATATCTCTTTGGATTTGAGACTTTAGTCTTTGCAACTTTACAGATCTTCTTTATGCACCAAGAGCTCGTAACACTCCAAAGAGAAAGGAAAAATTGAAATCGCATCATATGAATCAGAATAAGTTTTCTGAAGTTATACAATAGCTTTGTGTCAAAAATATCCAACTTTAAGTAATTTTTCATTGAAAATCATAAACGGAAAGAGTCAAATTTTTACACTAAATCATCTGATGAAATTCACAAAACTGATCTGAATGATTCATTCACAAATCAACTGATCCGGTTCTAGTCGCAGTGGTTACCAGCTCACTGAAGGGAATGATTTTCAGTAAATAACGACTGAAATGTCAGTCTGTTCCTCACACAAAACTACAAAATGACCCAAGTAGACTTGGAACATAGTACATAAGTCATATGAGCTACTTTATTTTTATGGTGCTTTTGTGTAGTGGCTTTTTTGGCCTTTTTTTAAATTATCACATCAGATACGGTTTCCTGTTTGGCAGATAAGCGTCATGAGCAGGACTTTTATTTTGACAGCACTTAGAACCCAGCACCTGAGCTGTCTTCATTAGTTTACTGTCTTTGTTTAACAGCTCTGTCTAATAATAGAAAGGCAAAAAATAAATAAATAAATAAATAAAAAATCCAAATCGGTCCACAACTACTCTTGTGTCTTTGTTAAGCTTGACCTCAGTCCTCCTCATTCACTTTCATTATATAAAAAAGAGTGGCCATTATATACTTCAAAATTTCTCCTTTTATGTTCTACAGAAGACAGACAATCAAATAGCTTTGGAAAGACAAAATGTCCAATTTTGGGGTGAACTATCCCTTTAAATTGTCATGGAATGCAGTCGTGCTGGGATCTCTATATCATTACGGTTATGAAGCTTTCCTTGTGCTGACCACCTGGCCTTGGCTACGTGATTAACTGTGTTATCAAACTGTAAACACATCTGTGCAGCAGCTCCTTTTTCCTGCCACTGGCAGGTAACCCGCCCATGCGGCGCCCAGGCCTAAACTGTGCAACCCCCTGGAGTCGTGCCAATGGTGAGATCACTTTATAACCACAAGGCTTAATTGAAAAAACCTGAAGGAACCAGCGCCTCCTTTTCCCACTGCCAGCGCACACTGCATCCCGAGTCCAGCTCCTAAAAGGGGTCAGAGCCACACGACAGCAGCAGGAGCTGCAGTTAGGGGGTAATAATACCACATATTTAGTCCATTACACCCCAATGTGTCTGACTTTCTCTGCAGAGAGAGAGTGAGAACACCATCTTTCTGAGAGTCTTGCCTTCTCTCTGGACAGGAAGCCAGTAATCAGGAGAACAGGAAGTGTTGGGATGGATTTCCTGCAAACCCAGTGTGAAAGTACATACTGACCTCGTCTGAAGTGGGCAGCCAAAAAACTTAAACATTACAATGGATTAAGAATGTCTGCATGCTTGTGCTAAGAGCAAATGACTCTTATTAGATGTATCACATAGGCCTAATTTTTGCAGGATGCAGAGTTGCTTTTATGAATCTGTAAATGAACTTGCACTAAGTATACTTCTTTGTAGGAGGAGGTATTTCTGTTTAATACTGTATGTATGCTTACTTACTTCATATACAATTTCAACACAAGTAGATTTGAATGTCCTAAAAAAATTAAATGTGTGACAGAGCTGGATTTCTGTGATTATAGCTTGGGAGAGCTTTAGAAATTGGAATTTGGCAACACATAATTCTTCTTAGAAAAGCATGCTCCATTTCATTAACACATGCTTTCAGTCATTAAAATAAAAACAACAACTTTAATTTTATATATATATACAGTGGGTACGGAAAGTATTCAGACCCCCTTAAATTTTTCACTCTTTGTTATATTGCAGCCATTTGCTAAATTATGTTTGTATATTTTGTATTGTTTTATATAGTGTATATATACTGTACATAAAAGTATACTGTTATTTGTAAAAGTGTCTAAACGTGTCTGGAGCACGCTCCCAAGCTTTTCACTCACCACGGCACACATGCTGTTGGTGATGTGACAATAAAAGTGATTTGATTCGAAGCGTCAGGGTCATGATCCTTCAGAAATTATTCTAATATGCTAATTTGGAGCGCAAGAAACATTTCTTGTTAATACCACTGTTCATAACAGTCGAGTTGCTTAATATTGTTATGAAAACCTTCAAAATCATTCCAGGATTCTTTTATCAATATAAAGTTCAAAAGAACAGCATTTATTTGAAATAGAAATATTTTGTAACATTATAAATGTCCTCACTGTTACCTTTGAACAATTTAATGCATCCTTGCTGAATAAAATACATTAGTGCATATATTTTTGCCTTGTAAGGTCCATGTCAAGGATGACTAGATAACAGTACTGTATATAACAGGAAGACAAATCACTTCACCCTTCCTGTTACTTCAACTTCCATATTATGATTGGTGTTGGAGTTCTATAATTGTGTTTATTTTAGGAAGAGACCCTGTACTCTCTAGTGGCCATGTGCACCCCCTCCCAGCAGATGCATGGCTGCTGGAGGTCTAAATAGCTTAACTGCTTATACTGTCAATGCCACATCACTACCTGGTATGCAAAATCTTGTCTTGCATTGTTTGGTAAGCCTAAATGGTTTATGGAAACGTTTTTAGGAAAATGAAATATAAATAATGAATAAATAATTAATATGGGTGAATTGCCACTACTATAAAAGGACATCAAAAATGAAACCCCAAGGGATAGCATTGTTTGGGACAACCCCCCCCACCCTTTATGTTACCCTGACATCTACTGGACAGATGTTGCAAGGACATGTGAACTCATAGTTTTCACATACTGGCCAAATAGGTAGTCTATCTATACCAATAATCATTTTGAATTAGTAAGAGCTAATAATAATAATAATAATAATGTCACAGATAGTAAATAGATTTACATATACACTATTGCTCAAATTTTTAAAAGAGGTCTCTTATGCTCACCAAGGTTGCATTTATTTGAGATAAATACAGTAAAAACAGTAAAATTGTTAAATATTATTAAAATAAAAAAATGTTTTCTATTTTAAATTGTGATATATTTTAAATTTTAATCATTTATTCCAGTGATGGCAAGGCTGAATTTTTAGCAGCCATAATGCCAGTTTTTAATGTCACATGATCCTTCAGAAATCATTCTAATATGCTGATTTGGTTCTCAAGAAACATTTTTTTTATTATCAATGTTGAACATAGTTATGCTGTTTAATATTTTTGTAGAAACTGTGATACCTTTTTTAGGATTCTTTGACATTTCAATAGAACAGCAATTATTTGATATACAAATTTTGTACAATTTTTAATTTTGACAATGTAAAATGTTTCACTGTTGCTTTTGATCGATTTAATACATGCTTGCTGAATAAAAGCATTAATTCTTTAAAAAAAAACATTACTGACCCCAAACTGTTTGAACAGTAGTGTATATATTGTCATTAATAAGCTGCATCAAACTACTTTTCAACTCCAATAAATGCATATTACACCACACATAAAAATACAGATATAAGAAACTGTGAAATAACGGAACAGAAAAAAGAGAAATGTACATTGGTAAAAAAAAAATCCTTTAGCACACTGCAAATTTAGACCAATATATACAATGACTCGAACTTGTATATCCTCGTCTGGCAGGTTTGCCAGGAAATGTGCAAAGAAAGAAGTGTCAATATAAGATAGGCAGGCACTGTTTAGTAGGCTCTGTGAAAACAACACTGCAGGGCAAGAATCTCTTCCTAAAGCGCTACTTTATTAAATGGAAACCTTTGGTAGAGTCACAAGTGCTTTTATTTTTCATTTTAAGAAATACATGAACTTCTATACACCTGTGTCAGAGTTTTTTTATTGCACTCAATGGGGGATCTACGTTGTTGTTTTAATGAAAGACTTCCAGTTAAAAACACCAAACCTAGCTGTACCAAGATGTACAGCAGTTGTTACACCAGCTCACCTGGGTCTAGATGACTAAATGTCCCGATGACGAAATCCAGAGTGGACATAGCCAATATGCCCAGTAGAACCAATTGAAGGCGTACAATCCATTTTACCCCAGCCAGGTTAATCCCGAGCAGACCAATCAGAACGGCCACAGAGATGCCCCTCACCACCCACATGCTCTGTAAGTTCAGCACCTGCGCAATGGACTCGGCAAAACCAGTGATGTACATCGCTCCAGCCACACACTGCCAACAAGACACATGACTGTCATCAAACTTGAGAACAGTGAACCGACCACCCAATGTATATGCAATATAACTAATACAGAAAGGAGTTGCTCACCTGTCCAAACACATATAAGAGTCCCACAGTTCCTCCAACCCTTCCTCCGAGCACAGTGGAGATCATGGAGTAGACCCCACCGTTACCCACGCTGCAACACTCACACACGCCAATGCCTGACATCACCGTAACCAAGGCGACTAATACCACCATGGATACCAGAAGCATGCCCAGCAACACACCTGTGTTACCCTAATAATGTTCATATGGGAAAAAACTTTACATTTTTATTGTATCCCCATTTAATAGCTGCCAAAACATGAGACGTATGAAAGCCTGTTTCTGCCATGGGATAAAAAAAAAAGGTAATTGCGACTTTTTCTCTCACAACTTGGACTTTTCTCACAATCCTATGTTTATATTTCACAATACTGATTCTTTTCAATTCTGAGTTTTTCCCCCAGAACTGCGAAATATAAACTCAGAATTGCGAGAAAAAAGTCAGAATTGTGAGATAAAAAGTTGCAATTAAAACATAATTGCGAGATGTAAACTCAAAATTCTGAGTAAAAAGGTGAGAATTGTGAGATATAAAAGCAGAATTGTGAGACGTAAACTTGGAATTACAAAAAAAAAGGTGCAGTTTATATCTCACAATTATGTACGTTGTATTTGCGAGAAAAAAAGTCAGAATTGTGAGATAAAAAGTTGCAATTAAAACATAATTGCGAGATGTAAACTAAAAATTCTGAGTAAAAAGGTGAGAATTGTGAGATATAAAAGCAGAATTGTGAGACGTAAACTTGGAATTACAAAAAAAAAGGTGCAGTTTATATCTCACAATTATGTACGTTGTATTCAAACTGTAAGTTTGTATTCTGAGCTCATATCTTGCTAAAAGTAATTGCAACTTTTTTTTAATTCCAAAACCTTGGAATATCTTTTCAAATGCCGTTTAAATAAATTCTCAGATTTCATGATGCTTGTAGTGCATATGTGTATCAATGATAAAAACATAACTTACCACAAGCCAGCCAGTCCGTAAAAAGAGCACCACCCCAAAAATGTTGATCATGCAGGTAGTAAAGACTCCATCCCAGGTGCCAAAAAGAACAGGTTCCCAGACGAAGAGCTGCACCTTCCACCAAGGCTGAGCATTACTCTGGGAACCCTACATAAACCAGTGTCACTCATATCTAAATAAGCCCCCATTAATATCAGTTCTTCTGCTCAGGGTAGAACATTAGGTCTGAATTTATGGGTTTCTAATTATTTTTATGGTAAAACTAACTGATTTGCCATTACCTGTACATCTTCATGGAATAACTCTTGAACTTGATAACTCATGCTCCCTCCTGGGCAAGATTACAGCAGCTGGATCTGAAGAATGTAAAGACTTTGCTATACTCACTTGAAAGGCTTCAGAAGTACAGTATATACAAAGCCAATTTTAACAACATTTGCCAAGTAGGCGATGGCCACGTAACTTAGATACATTTAAGCCAACAAAAGCCGTCTGTTAAGAAGTGACACATTAATAAAACACATACAATTCATATCCCGCGCTTGACCAATATTTTAGTAGCTACTTTAAGATAAAAGGCAAGCATTGAATTTCACGTGACTAAGTTGTGTAGTACTGACTATGTGTTTGTGTTTTACTTTAACGTTATATAGTGCAATGGTTCGTTGTAAACGCCACAGGAAAGGCCAGTGAAAGCGGCCCTAAATAAACGGATAAACTGCTGTTTTGGGATATTGTTAAACTGTAAATTCCTTGAGTAATCATAAAGACACTGACTTACCTGCAGTCACTGTGCTCCCGGATGCAGCAGCAGCAGGTGGAGAATGTGAGAGAGGCACGAACACACACCTGAGGAGTTAGGTGGTCCGACTCATTTCCGCGAATCGATTCTTTAGAACGGTTCGTTTAGATAGAACAACCAGTTAAAGCTTCAAAAACTTTTTAGTACGTTTTATTTGTAAACGTTCTGCTTTTGAAGTAACTATTGAAGAAGTGCTATTGAAGTAACTTACTACATTGACACTAACCATGACACAATTGTTTTAGTAAAGCAGCCTATATTAAAATCGTTTGACGAATTCTTACTTTAAGAATTTTAGCATAACAGCTGTCTGTGTGTCGCTGTAATTCATGGAAACGCTACGTGTGCAAAAAACGTCATTAAACAAATATCTGTTCTATCAGCGCCACCTCAGGTGTGTGCTGCCAGTGTACAGCTCTTATTTGCATTTCACTGTTCTTCGACTAGTCAGGATTTCAGTATTGTTTATTTCTTGTCATTTATCAAACCAACTAGTGAACATTTATGATGTGAAGTCAAATTAGAATCATTTTAAGATACTTTTATGCAAATTAGGCTAGTTGTGGTCATGTGTCAACCATACACGATTTAAAGCCATATTTTCAACCCCAGTCTACTTTTTTGTCAGCTCTCACGAAAATGTTCCCAGGGTACATTTAAACCTATAGATTTAAAATAATCATACCATTTTTTGAGAATCCTGTTTAGGACCATGAGTATTTAATTAAACCATAGAAATAATACTGTGAATAATTTACATTATATACTTTTTGACATGACTGAGATTTTTGCATTTAGTTAAAGAGAATTTGGAGAAATATGTTTAATTGTATAAAATATATATGCAATCACAATGCAAAAAAAATGTTAATGGTCATAAAGGCAGGCTTCATTTAATTTATACAAAAAAAAGTTTTCTTGATTGTTAAAAATGAACTAGACATTTGGTTTTATGAGATTCGCACACAGTAGTGCTTGTACTAAGAAGGCAGAGGCCACCCATTCCTGTGATGAGTGATCATGACACATGGAAAAAGCACTCAACAACTTGGATGTATTTGAAAATTGAATATTACACAACAAGAGGCACGCAATCAAAAACATCCAATCAGAAATTTTCCCCCATGTCTTAGGCAAAGTATTGCATTAAAGTATGTTCTATGGAAATAATTTGGCTACAGTAAAATGGATACATATAAAAATATAACCAGTGTACAAAGACAGTCAGAGGACATGCACTCCCCAATAAATTTAAATGTCTAAAACTATTCAGCAGAGCTCTCTTACTAAATAAAACCATTCAGTTTTTCACTCAAATTAAGCTTGAAAGAAAATAATGATCCACTGTCAGTAACACCAGATTAAACTTTGATGCTCAAAATACCCAATCAATAAAGAAGGACAACGGTCATGTGTCTAAATGCATATGACCTTTTACCAACAGCAATTGAGCTTACAAATTAAAAAAAAAAAAAAACAACGCACAATTTACTACAAGGAAATCAAGCTAAAACAAGACATTAAGGTCTTCCCTCAAATTATCATTTCACTTTCATCAATTTCTGGAGCATCTGTAGCAGTAATTTTTTATTAAATATTTTTATACTACGCACGGCGAACGTAGTTCCAGGCAGGTCTTGACCGCATTACATGTCCATATCACTTCGCCAAGGAAGTCCTTACAGCCTACAACAGCAAAAGAACCAAAACCCACAACGACACTGGCCAAACAAATAAATATAGTAAACAATAAGATAAAAACGACAGATCATTACCATGTTTTTGCCACAAAATTACGTTTTATTATGTACGGAAAGCACATACTCTATCGCTCCCACATCTAGGGGGTGGAGACGGGTAGGTTTAGGTCTAAGGTGGGAGGAGTTGGATCTGGATCAAACCACGCCCCCTGGATCTTGTGTTCTGCAGTGAGGACCATCTCAACACTTTTGAGAGACGCACAGACTCACAGAGGTAATCTCTCTCTCTCTCATAGCTTAGTTATTAACTGCATTAGTCTGCTGTCAACGGCTCAAGCCTCCGTTACTAGGTCTAAAATTATGTTTTGGAATTAGCAACGGAGGCGTTGGATGAGATGCGGAAGAAATGAATCCTACTCACAATAGCGTTTTAAGTACAAAAACCGGACAAATGCCTTGAAATATATAATATGACCGATGTCTTGAGGTGTGGTAACCGCTGTATAAGCGGAATAATTGACTTCGGTCCGTTGAATTCTTAGAAAATAATGCACACCCGAGGTGGTGATGCGGCCACGACGCGAAGCGGAGTCGTCAATTATTCCGGCTTACATAATGCAGATATCACATGATATTGAAACGATAAATAACATCCTAAAAACTCGTCCTCTGAGGGTGTATGAGATCCATACAAGGTTTAATCAAATTGTAATTATTAAAATTGCATTCAGAGGCAATTCTTAGAGGACAGTACATTTGTAATTTTAGAACCAAGAACACAAACATGATTTTATCACAAAAGTTGTGCTGAAAGTCATCAGGGACTGTAGGAAAGAGTAAACCAAAATGGCAGCAAATATGAAATAATGTTGCACTCACTCTACACTCCAAGAAACGTGCACAGCAAAATGCACAACTTAAAATATACAACCTATTTACATGTAAAAATAAAGGGACAGTAAAGGAATGTTTAGGCACACATATAATATACCGTAATCAAAAACAGTAAAATGTCTTTCGACACCCAGAACATACGGACTATGAAAAAAACCATACACACAGAACTGCTCTTAATGGGCCTCATTCACGAAACATAAGCAGAGCGAATTTGTGTAAATTGTTTATAAAACCATTAAACAACTTACATAAGAACGTTTTACAAATGATTTACAAAGAGTGTACAGTTTGGCATGATACTATTACTATAAATCATAAAGCTAAGATTAATCGATATACAGTTTAGGGGCAAGCAGGTACATTTCCATAAACAATCTGAGAGAACAGAAACAAAGCTTATAATTTACGTGATTAGTTATTAAGCTAACAATAAGAGATGCGCAATTAACAAATGTGTACATATACATATTAGTACTTTACCAAACATTACACTTTATTTTTTGTTCTATATTAATCCAATAAGTAACAGCAAGTGAATCTGATACAAAGACATATTTGCTAATGGATGGGGTGTTTTTGAGACAAAGAAAAAGCATAAAAATATGATCTCATACCATACATTCTTAAATTATATTTCTTGATTTCACTTAACACTGATATAGATTATATCAGATTTTTGAATGTGTACATTATGTAGACGGAAGGTGGTAACTGAAAAGTGCTTTAAAAAAAATAAAAACTGCCCAACAAGCTGAAAGTGCTATTTAAAGGGTAATGTTTATCAGATCTTGAGTGCATCTGAAAACTCAAGAAAACAGACTGTCAACAAATGAAGTCATCTTAAGGAAACCAAAGTGATGAAATGTGCACATTTTTTAACAAAGTATTGTATTTTGACTATTGTTAGTCTGAACTAACCACTGAGTCAGGCACAATGATGACAAATGAAGAAGTGCATACCTGTTAGTGCTGTTGCCCTGGACAACTGCTAAACCTGCATCTCCAAATGTGGGATATGTGAAAACAAACCCTCTACAGATGCCTTGCTACCCATGTGCACCTATATCTGATTGGCAAGACAGTCTCTAACGAAAATGTACCGATTCCCACAGAAGGAGCGTGAGAATATCTATTTTTTTATCCAATAACCTTAGGAGAAATGTGCAAAAATATTTCATGATTATATAATATTATATAAAATTATGGGCTAGGTCCATACAAATTCAGTATGACAATACCTGCAGATTGCTCTAAACAAAATGTGTCTTGGAGAGATTCTTTATGTGAGCAGAGAATGCAAATATATATATAAAAACATTCCAACAAGTAATTAAATGCACAAAAAGATTAAATACACAAATTAGCTTACAATGACAGGGGTGAGAAAAATGTTACTCTTTTTTTTTCTTTTTTTTTAAACAAAATACATCAATCACAAAGTGCCTTACTCAAGTCTAGGGCATTAAAGTAAGGTCCTTTCAGTAGCGCTCCAGACAACACGTTACAAAACTAATTAAATACAAAAACTGATTGTAATGCTAGGCTAGAGTAGTTTCTATAGACCTACATTATTAGGTCAGTCCGTTGAGCCTGATGTTCCAGCAAAAGAACTGAATGCTAACAAGAGGCCAAATAAGAATTGATCTTTGTATAGTTTTTTCTCTGGGAAGCTGACCCTATACATTTAAGGCCAATTCACACCGCACCGACAAACGCCAACAGACACATTGGCCGCTGGATTTAGAATTTGATGAAAAATAACTGTCATGTTCACACTGCCCCAACAGACACCAACAGACTTCAAGTCAGGGAGAGCTAACTAGGGGGAAAATGGATGATCTTGTAACAACAATCAAAATGATACGGTTATTAATGTCTTTGGTAATATTGTAAGGCAGTTTTATTACAATAATAATATATTGTCAAATAAATTTCCGTTGTGAAATTTCCCAAGCGCTGTAGCGATCGATCTGATCGCATTCCCCCTCGCGTTGCGGTTGGTATGCTCGGCCACACACACCGCATAAAGCTCTGGCCTCTCCTCCCAGATCCAAAAACTGTTCCTCTTTCTGGTTTGTCCAGAAACCTGCCATTTCTAAAGTTATTTTCCTAAGCGCGCCCAGCACCTACTTGCAGTCTTGCCTCATTGTCATGGCAACGGTTCGTGGCCAGGTCAGATTACGTCAGAGTTTGTTGTCGTTTGTTGGAAAATCATATCACACTGCTCAGACATTCCACGACTCAGCAAACGCCGATTAAACATGTTCAGTGGGGTGAAAACCAACTGCGACCAACGCCAACAAATGCCGACAGGGGCAACACACTGATCCAACAAACTCCGACAGACTAGTCTGTTGGTGTTTGTCGGTGCGGTGTGAATTGGCCTTTAGACGCTTGAATTCTTAATTTTAGAACACACAGGCTAGCTAATTTGGCAAGCCATAGTGTGTTTGTCCCAAGCACTATGTGTAATACACAAATAATGCAATGACACATAAAGAGTATCCCATAGTCCGATAATAAAATCTAATGCGTGCATCACTCTGCTCCTTTTGATTCTCGCACATGCGTGATTGTTTAAAGATGGAAAATCATAAGTATTTGCACAGAGATCACATTGCCTTCACTGACAGAACTATAAAGTGCCTTTAAAATGCTTTAAATCATTAAAAGCTCCTGTTTAGCCAAAGGTTTGGCTGCTTGTAGCATCTGGAGATGAAGTTAGTTGAGTTCTTGTTTCACTAACAAGAGAGAACTCTGGGAAGTCTGTTCCTCCATGACCTCTCAGGCTAACTTGTCCACTGGCAATGCTAAACTGTGAGGATATTCCAGATCGTGAGCTTGGGAATTGAGATCGAAAGTTCTGGTCAAAAGTAGCAATCTGAAATGTTTGACTAATGCTTTGCGCATCTGTTTTTTTGGGAGAGGTCACTTGGTCGAGGAAGTCCTCCGTTGGCGAAACTGAAGAAGGGTTTGTCTCGTCACCTGAAAAGGAGAAGGAGTGTTGGGAATCTACTAAAAGGCTAAAATTAGGCTTCTCCAAAGTGGATCTCAATGGCGAGTTCATGCTCGGTCTGAACCGGGATGGGGAGGTGAACTGCTTCTCCATGGAAAACAAAGGCTGGCCAGCAAGACTGGCACTGTCATTTACAAACGTAAGACTCTGGTTGTTCAGGTAGGTGTCGTTCTGACTGGTCCTTTCCAGTGCTTGCTGGAGAAACTTGGAGTACTCCTGTAGAAGGCTGGCCTTCTCGGCCGGGGGTGCTTGTGAGCTGGTTCCCAAAGTCTCGGTGGGGCTGCTCTCATCTATTAGAGTAGTGATCGAGAAGCGTCTGCAGGACCTCGTCTGGAAGGACGTTCTTCTCATTACTGGACTTGATCTCCACGTTCAGCGTCTGAGTCTCAGAGAGGATCGTGGTGGGAACGGTCTCATCGATGACGCTCGCTACAGCTGCCTGAGTGACAGAAGGCTGCGACACGATGCTGCTCACGTTAAGCGCATAGTCTCGACCAGTGTTCGCCGTGGCCGCCTGAAGGTATCGCTTCTTCTTGAGAAACTGCATGGCGTCGTCATAATTTGTGCTGCTCCCAGTTGGTTTTGTTTGTCCTCCTTGTAGGGCGTCAACCGAATCCATGTCAGGATTGGTCTCGACATCCAAGAGACCTTTGTTGTCCACAATTTCAAACGTGTATCTCGTTACTTTGCTCTCTTCAAATGAGGACAAGGGTGAGAGGCTCTGGGGCTGTTCTAGGGCTTGCCGTTTCAAACCTCTTCTGCCGGCAATTTTCTTCAGCACTAGTTTTGGAGGACTAATGATCTCGTCATTAGACTCCTCCCCTGCGAGATGCCTGTTGCCAGGTGGGGAATCAGGGAGCTCAACGGAATAATCTGTCACAACATACTCGTCCTTGACCTTGGTGTCTACATTGTAAAGAGGAAGACACTCGCTTTTGGCCAGCTGGTCTTCCGTCTTCTCCTCGTTACCAGCTTCAACCACTTTGTCAACAGTTGGACTTGTAAGCGCAACTCGACTTTTATCAGAGGTCTTCTGACGTTTCTTCTTGGGAAGTGTGCATTCCTTGGCAGGAAAAGAGAAGCCCAAGCACTCTGAGGTGCGAAGAGGACCATCTTTGGCAACTGCTTTCTGCACCTTCCTGTCCTTATTCTCATGGCACATTCGTCTGTGCTTTAGTACTCTGTCAGTTCTGGAAAAAAACTGTTGGGAAAAATATACATAATCATGTTTCAGACTGTATAATGCATGCTAACATTTTAATTGCACAGAATCAAATCTGATTTGCTTTGAATTGCGCATACTTGATGGCAATAGTCACACTGGTAAGGCTTTTCCCCGCTGTGTGTCCTCTTATGTCTCTCCATGTGGTATTTCTGAATAAATTTCATTCCACACTCATCACAGCGAAAAGGTTTTTCTCCTAAAGGGGAGACATGACAGGCAGTTTTTAACGATATAAAGAACAATTTAGGCAAGTCAAGTAGGCCTACTTTTTCCATGCCAAGACTTGATGGAAAAAACTAGGCTTTGACCCTAGACTTGCTTTCTCAGAGTATAAAGATGTACCACAAAAAAGGGGCTTGCAATGGACTACATTTATAAATGGATCATTGACTTTGAAGATTTCTGTACTGTACATTCTTAAAGAACATATCTTACAACACCTTGAAGAAAAATATAATTTTTTTCCACTGGTATAATGGTTTTAATCCCTTTCTGCTCACCTGTGTGGATCTTCTCATGTCTCTGAAGCAGGTACTTCTGAATAAAGCGCATGTCACACTGATTGCACTGAAAAGGCTTTTCGCCTGCAAAAATATATAAATTTTTGTTCACCGTTTTGTTTTTTTTTTATATGACAATTATTCCCAAAGAACATTACACCACTCACCTGTGTGAATGAAGACATGTCTTTGTAAATGGTAGTTTGTCCGAAAAGCAGCATTGCAGTGCTCACAGACATGAGATTTTGGGTTCTGATGCCCAAGGGAGCCGTCTTCATTAATAGTGAGAATCTAGCAAGATGGAGGAAATAAGTTCAAAACTACCTTAACTTTCATGCCTGTGCTTCTTTAGAGCATCATAACTCCAGAGTGGTCATAACTTTATGTCCTGGCTAACCAATACCGTAAAAGGACATGATAAATGTCAGTTCAGCTTACTCACAGATGTACATCGCAGTTTTTAGTATAATAACATTTCTATGAGTAAAAACAATAATTTTAGTAGGCAAGCAGCCTTGAAATAAATAAAACAATTTATAAAAAAGCAAGTAGACAAAATAAGCAATTTCAGGACACTTTCAAACTCACATTAAACTTATTATTTTACCACCACTGCTCTGCACTGTAAAGTATCTCTCACTTAGAGAACTGGTATTTTAGAGCATAATGGTATTTTATCAGTGGCATCTCTGATGAATTATAGTAAACCTTTGCAGGCGAGCGCTGCTTTCTCTTCTTCTTTTTGTGACAGTCAGATGGGTCCCACCCCGGTTTCTTCTCCTTTTTATTGAGAATCAATGAGTCTGGCACTTTCATCTCCTGCTTTATATTTACCTAACAAAAGTAACAACAACAACAAAAATCATTAATAAAATTCATTTACTGAATTTCTCAGTTACAGTACACTTATTATATACATAATTTTAGCAAATTTGCTGAAAAGAAATGCACGCTTTCTTTACCCAATATTTACTCAATTTTGTGTGTGTGTGGGGTTCACTGACAAGGTTGTTGGAACTTGCACAAGTAAAATAAACAGTGTTAAAGCGCTGCAGTAATTAGCTCTTAATCAGCTGTACACTTACTGGCATATTGAGTGTATAGTGTAGTTTATGGGAGATTCGCTGTGAGAAAGCTGCTTCATCCTGTCCATCATTTTTCACCGTCTCCTCGTGAACCATCAGGTCATCCTGGGATATCAGATCATGTGAGGTCAGGCCTCCACCTGCCAGGTCTTCATCATCATCTTCATCATCTTCATCATCCTCTGCCAAAAGAGGATGATTAGCCAAGCTCCGTTCCCCAAGTGTCATATCCAAACTGCCTCTTCTTCCTCTTCCGTCCACCCTCGAGGGTCCCAGACCTCTGGATGAGTGGTGAAGCCCCACAGGGCTACATTTCATAAGCATCCCCTCCAGCTTGTCATCAATGTTCATCGCTGAATGCTAAGCAGTTGAGCTGAAGCTACAGGAAGAGACAGGACCAACATAAGGATTCCTATCAGCACTTGCGTTCACCGTTGCCGTCACCTGGCTGAGAGAAACAACGAGCTTGAGTTTAAAGGCAACAAAACTCACATCCCCTCTTTTGACAAGCAGGAGCAAAACCTGATGATCCATGTTCTCCAGCATGATATGAGGTCAAACAGCATCTTGCGCTTCAATGGATGGAAATCTGATCTTTTGAAAACCTTAAAACATCATTTCCAGGTTTAAATGAAAAAAAGGAAATTTTCTTTTGGACCCCAGTGTTGGCCTAGCCTATATGCACAATCAAACAAAAATAATTTTCATCACCTGCTAGGCAGAGGAAAATGACATTAAACTTGATCTGATTTGACACGTCTTGAACAGAATTGCTACTGGAGCATGAACTAATTTAATAAGGATGCATTCATGTCAGATTCATGCTTCTACATCTCAGTATGTAGAACTGACTCAAAATGGATTGCAATACATAATTTCTTACTGGTTTAATGAGGCTTATTATTTATTTATATTCTAAACTATTATCAATTTAACTGTGATGACACTATTGAACGAAACTACAAAAACTTTGCTCAATATTGACTACGGTCAGCTGTAAAGCAGTTTTATAGCTGAAATGTAAGTTGTTTCACAATAACTGGTGAACTTTGCAACACTGACGTTGTTACTGAACAGAACTGAAATTAATAATGACATTTTTTCTTCTGTAGAGCTGCTATATAAAGGAATTGAAATATTTAATATTTGATAACTGCAACACTATGTTATTTACCTCTTTATTACTGTGTAGCTGATCTGAATTAATCAACTGAATGAATCTGTATTGTATAAAGAGTTTTATACATAAATGACTTTACTTAACAACAGTCAATGTTATTGACATGACCTCACAAATATTAATATTATTAATATGAATACTACAAACATACCTGATTGAGGTTAATTATTAACCCAGGGTGACCTTTACATAATTATTCTCTTATTCTACTGAGGCATATGAGCTGGTTGGCATCCTGCAGTTTTGTCATAACAGATGTAACCAGATGAGACCGTCATATTAATCTTATTTTTATAGCATTTTCACAATATTGTTCCAAAGCATCTCTACAGATAATTTTCCCTTAATGCACCCAGTGAGCAAGACAATCTTGACTGTAGCAAAGCAAAAATTACATTAGAGGTAAAGAAATAATTCCATATGCATAGACATTGTAGAAGTCAAGTTATGTATGACATTTCAATCATGAACCTAAACTAAATACAACCCGCATATTAAGTGAATCAACGTATGATTAAAAAATAAAATGGCCAAAGATAAGTGTTTAATCTCTATGTATACAAACTTAATAATGCTGATGTGCATAAACTAAAAAATAAACTGAAAGTAACACGACTGTTGACACTCAAGCATAACACTGGCTGCCTGTTGCCACTGTCACGGATACAGCTGCGCATTTAATTTGACGTGAGCTTAGTAAGACTACTCTATTTTAATAATGACTTTAATGTATTTTAATATATGAATGTAGTTTAAAATCGGCCTGATCTCCATCTCTATGCTGCCGTTTCATCACGCACACAGAGGCCGGACTGCAAACATTTTCACGGCTGCTTGTAACGAAGAGCCTCGCAGATGAAGAGTATACATACCGCATGTGTCGTCAGTGCAGCGCTGGCGGCGGGTTCGAGCCGCTCGTGATGTGTTTGTCAAACTTTACTGCGATGCTGCGGCTAGCATGAGAGGCTAGCGAGCTACATTCCATCTGCAGCTGCGCAGCGGTGCATTGTGGGATCGCAACGGACCCGCTCTAATGAGCCTCACTGACAGGACGTTTTTGCTTCCTGTTTGAAATATATTTAAGCAATATAATAAGTGTAGCTAATAGTAGAGAATGATGTGAGATGCTATATTAATTGACGTATTCATAATCAGTTATATCTAAGCCTCAATTACTAACTCTTTCAAGACTCATAATAGAATTACGAATTTCAGGGATTGTCAGAGACTTTTGGTGTTAAACACAAGGACTCAATAATAGCAATTAAATAAATATTTTAAAATCCCTGAAATATTAGTTGTGCAGACTAAACAAATTGTGTGTATGTATATATATATATATATATATATATATAT